ATCGTGGCCTGACGATTGCATCTAGCATGAAACAGACTGTCGCCTCTAAGTGTTGATTTTATGTTCACTTTTATATTTACACACGCTCTATCTCTGATATTGAGCACTTTATCCCATAAATATAGTGTTGCAGTTTTTTGGGTATTATGTACTAGTGAGCTAGTCAAAATGACTTGACTCATTTTATAGTCCACCAAGAGAAGGGTTAACCAATCAGAAGATGTAGACTATTCAACTCATCGTGTATAAAGGCGGCCATTTTGTTTACTCTATCCGAATGACCAGTGCCAGCTTGTCAGGCGAAGAGGAACAGAAGGAAGAACTACGCTCTGCTAATTTTACCAAAATATCCACTGCTAACCTGAACAACGCTTCCCTACTGTCTTCGAAATATTCACTGGTAACCTCTGGGTTCTATACTCAAAGACGACCGTTATCATGAACAACATATAGCATGTCTTAAGACTATATTTTTTCATATGTATATAGGTACCTCCACTAATGCGCTGAAAAAAAAGAGCATGCCATGATGGAAAAAGAAATGCCCCAATCATGATTAAAAAAAATAAAGCTTTAGAGGAAGAACCAAAGTATTTTTGTTTATTTTAATTGATTTTTTTAATCCTCTCTGGCACGTCCGAAATTTTGGTTAAAAATCTCGTTTTTCTTGCGTCAGTGCGGCTCCAAAGATTAGTGTAGGAAATTTTAGCGCCCCTTTTTTTTTCGGTAAAAAACACATTGATTTGGAAATTGCAAAAATCAAATAGTTGCCGGATTTTAATGAAACTTTCAGGGCCTATTCAAAAATGAATTTTTTTTGTTTTTTTTTTAAAGAAATGACGACTTTAACGATTTTATTGAAAAAAAAATTGATTCCACTCAATATCATTTCTGTTTGAAATACACCAGAGTATTTTGCTTAGTGAAAATTAAAGCTAAAATGAAAACTTCAAAAAAAGCTTTTTTCCTTTTTAAAGATTCATTTTAAACCATCGCAAATTAATGGAAGTACTTATAAATATATATATATATATATATATATATTCAATTAATGACTGCTGAAACAACATTAGAAGCCCTAACTATCCCCTATCGGGGGCATCATTATCAGTAATCCAGATCGCCTCAGCAATACATTGAGATAACACTCAAGCAGCAATCTTAGTTCTTTATTACATTACGGAAGTACAAAATGTAAATACATATATATCTGACCTAGTCTCGAAGACTATCTCCTAATGGAACTCAGTCGTATGTATCAAGGCTAAATTGAGAATGGCACTCCGGCATTTGACGCCAACAGGATGAGCATTAGTCACAAAGCCTATATTTCAACCCGGTAAAGTGAGAGCAGAATGCAGAAAATATCGTCAATTAAAACCAAAAGTTTAACACAGTGCCACGAAAGGTTATTTCAAGATCAATCGGTTCATTCTGATTATGAAATACAAACCTTCATTTGCCTTTGCAACATTATCACAATAAAATCACAATATTATCATAATAAACTGCCGCAATTTAAGAGAAGCTATATATATATATATATATATATATATATATATATATATATATTTATTATTGAACAATAAAAAATATTAAAAAATTAAAATCTTCAGACACACTGAGTTGTAGATTAATATTCTTTCGTTTTTATTATTATTATTTCATTTCGATTCCTCGACTAGTTTCGTCAACATGGCCATCATCAGTAGAAAAAAAATTCTGCTTGCTGGTTGCAGTGAACTACAGAAATGAATGTTTTGATGCAGAATATGAACTTTTGTCTGTAGTCTTCATTTATTTTTTATTTTTAATTATTTTATCTTTCTAACATGAATTTTTTAAACATTCCTTGTGTTGGTCAAACAGTCTCTTTTAAGTTGTTATTTGAGATAAGAGCTGGATGGATCCATGCTGATCTGAATTCCCCTGCTAAGTTTGACAGTTATATATATATATATATATATATATATATATATATATATAAACTTGCATTTTTCAACTCAACAAACAAATTCAAATAACAAGTTGTTATAACAATTTGGGCTCTTTCATCTTAATTTTTTCGATTGCATTTTATTCCAACTTTATTCAGGCTATAAAAAGCAAGATTTGACCCCGGGTTGCTGGCACCTCGAGAAAGCTGAACTTCGGCGCCCTCACAAGTATAATTTTTTAAATTTTCACAAGGAGAAAAACTGAAAATGTAGAATAAAGAGTTTATTACAATATACAACTTAATACAAGCTAAAAAAAACAACATTTGTGCCACGCATGATACATGCTTAGCCGATCATGTATCTTTCGATACATGACTGACGAGGCAGATTTCTTTTCCCGCAATAGGTTGCCATTTCTTTCTGCGGTTGACCAGTTGCCATCCAAGGCTATAGAACCCGGTCTGTCCTGCTATTTAACCATAGCTAGGTGGAGAAGAAGAGGATTCATACCTTTCCCAAGGGTATTAGCACGTAAGTAAATGTAATGAATTCAACTGGGATTCGAACTCGGCTCTCCGATTCCTCAATCCGAGCAGCTATTCATTACTTTACCGTGATCCTACCTAAAACATTTTTTCTAGCCTTTATATCTACTAATCTTTTCATGACACTTTCTACATCTATCTTCTTTACAAGATCATTTTATATTGACAAAATAGCCAAAGAATTCAACCTGTCTGGAGTTATGGACGACCAGTAAGTATGACCCCAAACACATAAAATGGCGACATGATTACCCACCCTCAGGCAACTGCCCGAGTTGCCAGTACCTCGAGTCAGCCCTCTTTAAAAGCAGACATATTTATGAAGACGAATGAATATTAATAGATATGTCTGCCTTTACAGTTTTAATTAAATATTATACCCTGAAGAAGATCTTCATCTAGCCAGTAAATCGAGAACGCAGGACAAGCTCTCTACAATTTCCTTTCCTTTGTAGCTCTTAATAAAATTTGTTTTAGCTGAAAGTATTTTAATGCCTTATCATAGGCGATCATGACTCTCCACCTTTTTCTTTTCTTTATTATCTGTGGATTGCCATGTTTTTTTTGGGGGGGGAGATAACTGAGTGGTTTTGTGCTGCCCTCTCCTTGATTTGGAATTCAGAGTTTGCCATATTGCTTCAGGATGTAGCTGATCATGGCTCTCCGCCGATTCCTTTTCTTTATTATCTGTGAATTGCCAAGCTTTTTTCTTTGGGGTTGGGGTAACACAGAGAAGCGTTTACCCGTTGTTTCGCTAGAGTTTAGAGTTCAGAGTCTTCCTTCTTTCTGTTTGACACTGCAATTTAATCCATAGTTCGGCAAGAGGTGAAAGAGACGGATTTTTACCTTTCCCAATGGCATCAGTACGAAATCACCGATAACCGTTACTCTATACATCTGCTCTACCCGCAATGTTATGTCATTTTTTATCAGATGAAACATTGTTAACCCTTTTACTCTGTTCGTAGGACGAAAATACGCCAACTGCATGTCCTGCAGAAAGTCAAGACACAGCCAAAAAGAGACACATTCTCAGTAAATGCTTAAAGACTTGATACAAGTAAATACATGGACTCAAATATAAACGACTAATATTTAACCGTGCTCGAATCAAATAAATGCTCCCCAACTCAAATATAAAGCTCAATATTTACCCGTACTCGAATCAAGTAAATGCTCCCCAACTCAAATATAAAGCTCAATATTTACCCGTACTCGAATCAAGTAAATGCTCCCCAACTCAAATATAAAGCTCAATATTTACCCGTACTCGAATCAAGTAAATGCTCCCCAACTCAAATATAAATGACCAATATTTACTTATCCCTATAACGGTTGTTTGTATTTGAGTCGTAGTACGTACATGCTTAAAGCCTTGAATATATAAATGACTAATATTTCCTATCACTGAAATAAATAAATACTTGAACTCAAATTTCAACGACCAATAATTACCTGTATGTGAACAAAGTAAATGCTACCCGACTCAAAAATATAAACGATCAATATTTACCTATCCCTGAAACAAGTAAATATAGTCTCAAATATATGCGGCCAATAATTAACAATCCTCGAATCAAATAACGATTACAGGATATAAATTACAAAATCTCATTTTACTGTATAAACATTTTAACATCTTTGTTGCCATGCACTGAATTGAAAATGATTTACTAAGGAGAGCTTAAGTCTGGCACAAGGCCGAGAAAAGGGGGGCACACGGACAGGATCAAACTCCCTACTAATCGAGCGAGACAAGCTTGGTGACCATTACACACTTACAATCGATTTATAGCGATTTAGTAAGCGTGGCTTACACGTGGTACGAGGCCGAAAGTACAGAGCACCTAGTGAGGATCGAACTCACTCACACAGTCGTAATTGATCTATCGAGACAAGCATGTTAACCATCACACAATGTCGAAGTACCCTGCACTGCATTTTGGTGTCTATCCGTGTGAACACTTCGGAACAGAATGTGGCACAAGGTCAAAGTTTAATGTGGAACGCCATGCAAAATTTGCTCAACATCTCTCGCCGCTTACCTTTTTGGGGACGCCTCAGGCACTGGGTACTGCCAGATGAGGACAATAGTCCGAATAATGTAAATAGTGTACAAGGCACTGTATTTATATGCGCTTTAGTTCATCTATTCTGTAAAAGATAAACGTATGTACAGTCCGAGCCTTTATGCCGGACCGCAAAAAATACCAGATGACAGAAATCGTTATCGCCTTCTTTTAATCAAATGACAAACACTTCCAAACTACTTACGCACTTTGCGAGCATCAACAGGTATTCAATTTATATTTTATTCTGTTTGTATATACGACCATTTTTATTTTCTAGCTAGGATTAGAGTGTAGTATCTGTTGAGTTGGAATCAGTTATGTTTTCAGACGGAAAAACCTACAAAATTAGGAAAAGCGAGAAAGAGAAGGAGTGAAGTAGAAAAGGTATGAGACGACGAAAGAAAAAAAAAGAAAATCATCTGAATGAAAAAATAAATTTATACAGAGACAAAAAAGGATAGAAATAAATGAATGACAGAGAAGGAGAAAGAGGGGGAAACTAACGAAAGACACAGTGGGGAGAGAGGGAAATAAATGAAATACGGGGTGGGAAAAGGGGAGAGTAAAAAGAACGAAAAGAAAGGGAGGGGGAAATAAACGGAAAACAAAGGAGGGGGAAATGAACGAAAGACAAAGAGGGGGGAAACTAACGAAAGACACAGGGGAGAGAGGAAATAAATGAAATACGGGGTTGGAAAAGGGGGGGAGGTAAAAAGAACGAAAGAAAGTGAGGGGGAAATGAACGGGAAACAAAGGAGGGGGAAATGAACGAAAGACAAAAAAAAGGAGAATTAAACGAAAGACAAAAAGTGGGGAAATGAAAGACGAGAGGGAATGAATGAAAGACAAGGAGGGGGAACGAACGAAAGACAAGGAAGGGAATGAACGGAAGTCGGAGGGGGAAACGAACGAAAGACAGAGACGATGAAGGGAGAAAAATGAGAGAAAAGAGAAGAGAAGGGATGAAAATGAAAAAAGAGACGTGAGTAGGTAGGTTCATTTTACGACAGATCAACCTTTGTAAAGTTATTCAATATCAAATGTTGTATCTGACACCCATCATAAGATTAAGCAAAAAGGAATTTTGAAAAGCAAAAGAGAGAAGGAAAGGATAGAGAGGGAGTAAAGCCGAAAAAGTATGAGACAACGAGAGAGAAACGAAAAAAAATCATCTGAAGCAAAAAAATAAATCTATACAGAGATGGCGAAAAGACAGGATAGAATGAAAGACCAAGAAGAGGTTAAGCGGAGAATTTTTTTTTACAGTGTTGTTCACCCTGTCCAAGGCCTAAGAGCCATAAGAGGTAGAGGGTTGCAGAGTAAGAAACATAAACACACGCAAGGAAATAATGCCACCGAGTCGAAAGGGGCACTAAGAAAGGAAGTGAAAGAGAAGGAAAAGGCTTTAGAAGAAACCAGAAACCCAATCCTAAAACAAGGGAAACACTTCTATTTATGTTCAAGAGACCGCGGAGGTGTGTGAACCGGGCAATAAGCAAACCTATTATTAACGAAAAACAGGAAATGGATAAGAGGTGGAAATGAAGGAAAGACAGAGAGGGATAAGGGTTAGAAATGAACGAAAGAGAGAGAAGAGGGAGGATGGAAACGAAGGAAAGACAGAGAGTGGGGAAAGATGGAAATGAACAAAAGAGAGACGTAAACTTAGGTAGGTTCATTTTACGACAGATCAACCCTTGTTCAGTTATTCAATACCAAATTTTGTATCGGACACCCAGTGGGGATCGAATCCACTATTCAGTAATAGTGGTCAACAAGACCAACCTCGCTGAGCATTACTCCTTGCCGAGGTGCCGACAGGGATACAGGTTTGTACATCAACACGTTGATGAGTCATGCAGCTTTAGTCATGAGTTCTTTAACTTTCTTCTGGAAACTTTTGTAGACGTCTAATATTTTTGCTTGGACAGTATTCGATAATGCCGAAAAGAAACACAATTTCGAAAGTTCTTTAAAGACACGAACAAACTCTCTGCAACTGAAAACGGGAACAAGATTTTCTCACACATGGCATTTCGATGTGTCATGCAGAGTTAATAATACAGTTTTTTTTCTCACTTTACACAAAATAATTATGAGAGTCACCTAACCAGGTGGCATACACCAAAACAAAATGGAGAAACACTAATGAAGAAGCCAAAGAAAGGCGTTGCTCTCAAATATTTCTCAAGGTCTTCAAATGCACAAAGCAAAAACGATGAGATTATTAAAAAATGGGGACAAAATAGAACACCAACAAATACATTTTTTTAAATTGAATTTTGAGCTTAAAATCTTTTATGTGCCGTACCGCTTCAGGACGTTAGCGATCACGGCTCTCCACAATTTCCTTTCCTTTGTAGCTCTTAATAAAAATTTGTCTTTTTGTTATCTCCTAAACCCTAATCCATATATTCAAGTTCGTTAGATAGGTTACGAGTTGTTTTCCTCTGTCTCTCTTGCTTTCAATCTATCTTGTGAGTATCAAATTTTCCAAACCCTCTTTCCTCATTATGTGCCGTGAGAATGTCAACTGTCTGTTACTGATGTTAGGTATAAGGGTCCTTTTTGTTTACATTTTGTCTAAAGCTAAAATCCATTGTATTCTCAGAATCGTCATGTAGAACCACATTTCCTGTTGCTTCAAGTCTTTTCTTCATTTTTGAGAAGATTATCCATTATTATGTATCATACACGAAGACTAATATTACGTAACAGTTCAGTACTCTTTTCTGTTTCTAACGAATTTTTCCTGTTTCCTAATAATTTGCATAGCTTTTGGAAGGCATCTTTTGCTATCACAATGCGCCTTCGGATTTCAATGTCGCACTTTCCGTTTACTGTTAAAATACTAACCAGATATTTAAATTGTTGTACTTGTTTGATTTTGGTATGTCCAATTTTTAATTGGTATGTTGGGTTGTACCTTTTGCTAGAGACCATGTATTCTATCTTTCAATGTTTAGTCCTTTCTTCTTGCTTTCCTTCATTGCTTTCTGTAGGGGTTCTTGTAGTTTCTTTTCCGTGTCTGATATCCACACCGTGTCATCTGCACACTGGAGCGGAACACAAAAGACGGGGTTGGTTTAATCAGACGGTGCCCACAAACATTTAAAAATAAACATCCCTAGTGAGATTATTAAATAGCTCACGAATCCTCATCACAGCGGCCAGTAGGTTTGAGAATTGCCTCTTTAAGGTTGGAATAAAGATCGGGCTCTGCGACGGCCTCCAAAATGTCCGCTACCTCATCGACGATAGAAGGATGTAATGCCGATACTAGATGTGCAAATTTGAACTTCTGGGACGTAATCTTTCGTACAAAGAAAATCGCCTCAAGTTGCAAGAACCAGTTCTTGATATTATTCTCGTTGAAAGATGGTAAAAGTGCCATAGTAGTTGCCAAACTGATAGATGCTTCATCTAATTCATCGGTTGCCATCCTGCTTAGCCTGCTCAGATCACGTCAGGGTCACCAACTTGAAGCGGCACGCTACAACAAAAGGGTAAGTTAACGAGAAACAGGTCGTCAGCCATGATGAAATAAACAGAGTAGTGAGACGCTACAATAATATTTAATGTTGTTAAGATTGTTGCTGCTAATAATTAATGCTGGTAGAATTTCTGATTCTATCGGAATCGTCTTACTGTATAGATTGAATAAGTCCGGTGACATTTCTGTAATTTTAAAGCTGAAGAGTACCCCAAAAATATTTAAATTTTTGTAATTCTTTGATGTCTCCAATTTTTAATTTGCATGTTGGGTTGTTCCTTTTGCTGACAACCGTGCATTCTGTCTTCTTGCAATTGATGCTTAGTCCTTTCTTCTTGCTTTACTTCACTAGCTTCTGTAGGATTTTTTATATCCTACATAGTGAAGGAAACTTTCTGCGTCTGCTATCATCACAGAAAGGAAACTACAAGTAATCCTACAGAAGGTAGAGAAGGAAAGCAAAAATAAAAGACTAAACATCAGTTGCCAGGAGGCAAAATGCATGGTTGTCAGCAAAAAGGAACAACCCAACATGCAAATAACATCTGCGTATCTTGTTAACATTGTAGCCGACAATGATAAATCACTGTCGAATAAGGCCGGTGAGAAGACCCATCTTACTGAGAAAAATGTGAATATATTTCCGCCTCATATCTCAGAATGAAGAGCGTTAGTTTCTGTTTGTAACTTCTGTCATGTTAACCTTGACAGAGATACAAAAGAATTTTTATCTGATTCGACCATCCAAGTTAGAAACAAGCAGGAAAGTTACATTACATCACCGTTTTTGCTGCGTGAAATTAACGCTACACGGATCAGCTATTGTGCCCCAAGTACTGACCGTGCTCGACACTGCTTAACCTCGGTGATCGAACGAGAACTGGCTTCAGAGCAAGGAGGAAGATGCTGTCGGAGGATTGAAATCTCCGGGACTGGCCTTATCTCATAAGTTCAAGAGGAAGTGAGAACAGATATTACATTTTGATCCCAGTTTGATGGTCGAGGAAAAAGCGTCTGACTTACCATTTATCCTGCACTCATTCACCTCTCCATGATGGCGGTATGACAAAAAGTCGTTTTTAATGTAGGATAAGCTTTTATATGGTCAAGGACAAAAATTACTGTTCCTGCGAACACTGTTACGAAAGCGTTAGTATTCCAAGAAGTCCTCCCCCTTCTATCTCTCTAGTGGAATGAGGGAGGTGTTGCCATAGTGTTAGAATCTCCGGGATCATGTATCCTTCAAAGCTTTTCCGTGAACTGCCCGAAGAGAAAAACATGCCAGAGAGAAGAAAAAAAATACTACACTTTAATACTCACAGGACGAATGGGGGGGATAGGAGGAAAGCAGCCCATGACATATGTGGTGGGCTTAGACAGGTGGATAGCGGAGCGTGGTCTGGGCGGGGGAGTTGGCAGAAACACAAAATCTGTTGAGAGCCACAAGGGATAGGAGGAATTGAAGGACCATGATCGCCTACGTCTTGAAAGGACACGGCACATAAAAAGAAGAAGATATGTACACGAAGTTTTAGTAGTTTTCTCTGCGCGCCTACATTAAAGCAGAATGTGGCACAAGGTCATAATTTAATGTGGGATTTCGAAAAAGCCGTACAAAAATTGCTCAAACTCTCATGGCACTTCCCTTTCTGGTGATGCCTGAGGCACCGGGTAATGACAGCATTCCCCGAAGAGCCGTCTCCCAAGTTAAACAGAGGTATGCCTCCGGTGTGGGGGTCTCCAGGGGATTGAGCTGATATTAATTTTAACTTCCCCGGCATAAAAATGCCAATGGTCGAGTAAAGGTAGTCCAATGCTACAATGACAGGGCGTAACACTTTGATTCGAAACAGAGCACACACACCATCTAGCTCGAGACTAAAGTACCAATTCATACGTACACAATCATTGTCATCTTTACGGACATAATGCTGTTTTTCGTTTGTTTGTTTTTTTCAAAAACGAAGCAAACAAATTAACTCAATAGTACGAATATTATATCGTATAGCTGGACACCCGTATTCGAGGATACCTGTCTACTAGGGCGGGTAGCCAATCTCTATTGCAGACGCTTGCTTAGGCGCATTTGTGTTTATCCAACACACAGAAATCCTACCTGTGGTTTATATTGCAACTATGTTGAGCAGACTTCAGTTATAATTTCTGGGAAAGAGCGTGTTTAGCGTGGTCAACAATTTGAACAGAGGAAGTACGCTCAGTGTTAAAATGTCAACGATAAACAAATTACTGATATGGGTCAATTTGTGGTATAAATTTAAACTTTCCAATGTTGCGGCACGTTGGGATTAACCCTTCCAATCCGATCACATCAGGAAGTCTCCTTACTGACAAATCGACCATAGTGATTCTCATGGCCAGAATGCGAACGTTCTAACCACTCATTAAATATAAGCCTTTTTATGGTACGAATATAAAATATTGTTAAATATAAGCTTATTTATGGTATGAATATAAAATATTGTTAAATATAAGCCTTTTTTATGGTACGAATATAAAATATTGTTAAATATAAGCTTTTTTTATGGTACGAATATAAAATATTGTTAAATATAAGCTTTTTTATGGTACGAATATAAAATATTGTTAAATATAAGCTTTTTTATGGTACGAATATAAAATATTGTTAAATATAAGCAGGTCTTTTTTTACAGGTACGAATATAAAATATTTTAAATATGCTTTTTTTATGGTACTGAATATAAAATATTGTTAAATATAACCTTTTTTCATGGTACGAATATAAAATATTATTAAATTTAACTTTTTTTATATTGGAGGAATATAAAATATTGTTAAATATAAGTTTTTTTATGGTACGAATATAAAAAGCTTTTATTTAACAATAAAAGTGGAGTATTTGTAAGCTTTGTTTATTAGGCATTCTCTTTGCAAACACATTCCATTCCCAAATACAACAGGTGAACTGCTGCTTCATCCAGTCTTGGGTTGTCATTAGATTTTGTCTCCCAAAGTATTAAAAGACTTATGAAGAATGCTGAAAGTTCTTGTGTCCAGTCTATGAATTGAAACCTGAGTGGCTAATTACAACTATGTTGGAAAGCCCTAGCAGGCTCTTGTATCCTCAAGGAGTTCTCTAAACTCCTGTTACATATTCACATGTCCTTAAGTATCAGTTGCTGCAAGAATGGAAGAACAATGCAATGCACGATAATTGGCATCATTTAGTCTGTATATTTGATGAGAATTTACAGAACAAGAGCTTGGTGACAGAGAGGGTACCAAAATGTAAAACATTATACATCGTCTCTGCAGATCAGTCAGTCAGTGCCATGCGTGATACGCGCTTAGGTGATTATGTAACTTTCGATACATGACTGATGAGGCAGATTTTAGGTTGCTATTTCTTTCTGCGGTAGACCAGTTGCCATCCAAGACTATAGAACTATTTGTCCTGTTATTTAACCATAGCTTGGGGAGAAGAAGAGAATTCACACCTTTCCCAAGGGTATTAGCAAGTAAGTGAATAGTAATGGATTCAACTGGAATCGCCGCTATCCATTACTCCACAATGCCTCTTCATTGAAAGATCTATGCGAAATGTTTGCTGACCATTGGTATCAGGATAGACATTAAGATATTAATGAGAGCAATGGTTCGCAAGCTTGCATATTAAATCATTATTCTATTTTTTTTTAGTTCCATTGGTTTAGACCTTGACAGCTAGAGCTACTTCCATCGAGTCGAATCACACTCATTTCCCTCTATATTCCAAATTTAAGAAGTTCAACTCAGCTTTTGTGGAATAGTACATGTAGGTGCTTCCCTGAACACTACAAACTTAAAAATATTCAAAGAAATGCCCAATCATTATCTATCTTCCTTCTACTCATAATCTGCACTTCTTATCATTTCTTTTTTATTCATATTATACATTCCATGTATAATAACCATTTTAAAAGTAACCCTCTACATCGAGTGAGATTTTTATGAAGTAGACGTCAGTATTGAAACAGTGAGTTGTTATCTTCTCCTAGGAATGAAAGTGAATGTGAGAGCTTCACTCATATTTCAGAATCAAAAAGCAACAACTCAAATATTGACGGATAAAAAATAGTGATACGCGCATTATACTTGCTTTTTTTCTGGAAGTGACAAGAAATGCAAAATTCTACAAATTGATACTGTTGTAGTATACCTACGGACGATAATAAGTATGTCCCAATTCACATAAATACAGTAGTAAATGTTGGTCTGCAACTCCTTTAGGCAGAGAGGATCCCCAGACGAGACAGAGTATTGTCTTGGGAAACAGCTTCCCGACCCCGTTTTATACGGGGTCTACGGGGAATTTCTGACCGAGCCTACGGTCTCGGATACCCCACATTAAATTCGGCCTTGTGTCACAACTGACTGTGTGGGGCGGTTGGTAGATATCCTGCAGTTGAAGTTTCATTCACTTAACTCACTTCTAGCAGTTGATGACTACTTTTACGCGCCGCTGGCGAATCCTATATGTGCTGTTCTTGTGCTAAGTATTATCGTTCATTACCTACCTTCGTTTGATTATTCCATTCAATAACCTTCCCTAGGTTACAACAAGTACCGAACATACAAAAATCATGGGATATACCGTAAAGTGGGACAGAAGTTGATTTCTTTTTATGGGAATATGTGAAGGGACTGGTCTATGTCCCTCCTCTTCCTGCTAGCGTTGATAAACTCAGAGAATCACTTCTGCATTGGATAATGTTACTGGAGACATGAAAAACGTGTTTAATTCTTTTTATCTACTGATTTCGCCGTGTCACAGGCGGTGCACATATTGAACACTTATGAAATCGGTCCCATAATAAACTTATGATGTTCAACACCTAAACTGTTCAATTTCATTGAGCTAGACTTAGTAGTTTTCCATATAATTGCTTTTAAAATGATGTCAATTTTTTGGGACACCATATATATATATA